CACCTGATGTCCCGGGCAGGCCTCCTGATGGGATGCTTGAAGAAGTGCATGGCACCCGAACAGTCTCCTTGCCAGAAGTGTTTAAGCCTGGGTCTGAATGTGACACAAGACACCCAAATGCAATATAGAAACTCTGATTGGATTTGGGGGAGCAGGGGCAGGTATAAGCACTTTGATAAATACATGGATGCATTTAAATGTGGCCTGAATAGTAGATAACATCGTTAAATTAGTGTCATCCTTGGATGTGACATGGGAGAGTGATGGCTGTAGGAGGGTGTGTTTAATCTTAGGAGATTCAAGCTAGTTTCCAGATAGTGTAGCTGATAGAACATACATAAGAGAAACAATAGGAAAATGTTACCAGTTAGAGTTTCCTTTGACAAACTGTGTTTTGCTTTTCCTTAAGGGACTTAGGGTACACATTCCTGCTGGCAGATTCAATTTTGAAACTATGGCTCCTTGAACCAAAACCTGTTCTGTTTCTTAGAGATTATTTTAAAATTGTGCTGCCATTTAGACTCAAGTAAATATTTATCTAACAGTGAAAGATTTTGCATGAACTGGATTGCTTTCTGGTAGATGGAGGAAGCCAGGCACAGAATGCACTTTCTGTGTTGACTGTATTGCTTTACTCATTTTCATTAAATGATTCAGTTCCAGGGAGGTAACATTTCCTACCTTCCAGGTGCTACTTGTAGGGCCCATCCCCTCTTTTAACCTTATTATTAAACTTATTAAAGACATTTCTCCTGATGACACCAGGGAAGATTGCTAGCCCCTGAGACCTGGGGGATTTGTCTGGAAAATTCATGCACGTTTGACTCTGTCCTCTTTATCCAGTGCTTTTAATCTTTACCCACCCACCCCCACCCCCGAAAAAAAGTCCTGTCCCTAATTTGCAGTTACAGTCAATATGACAGACTTATTTCTAGTCTAATAAAATTCTTCTCAAAGAATAACATTTGTAAATAGTGCTTTAACTTCTTAATTAGCTGCTTGTGTGCACGTTGGTGCTGGGGACACGATGATAAGTAAAACGCCCCAGTTTCTACTGTCAGGGCAGTTCCAGCCCTGTGGGGAGATGGTCAGGCCCACAGGCAGGGAGAGTGTCCATCTGTACAGATTGCTTAGATGTTCTGAGGGGGGCCCATGGAGGCCAAGGTACGTGCAGAGACCTGGGCTGGCAGGTCATTGGGGCCGACACGGTGGCAGAAGGGGGTCAACAAGGCACAGACAACAAGTGGAGTCAGGCCACAGCCTGTTGGAGTGCCTTGTGAGAATGTTTGGGTTTCAGGTCAGCTTCCCTAGTTTCCTCAGAGCAGTCCTTTCGGAGCAAGGTCGCTCTTGCCTGCTGGCACAAAGTGGGGTGTTTGCCCCTGGTCTGCCCCGACCCTCACTACGTCAGCCCCTACCCCCAGTCAAGTGCCTGCAGTTCTCAGAGAATTCCTGGGGCTGCTGTGTGGCTCTCATTTGTGACTGTTCTTCTCTCTGCCTGGACTCTTCACAGCCCCTCCCATACGTGTTACCCTGCTTCTTGCCCTTTAATCTAGGTGGGTGACTGCTCCCACAGACCTCCCCATCTGCATTACCACAGCCTTTGTGTGTGGCCACAGCTAGCTGTGTGCTTCACACAGCAGGAATCCTGGGCACTCAGGACTCGTTTTTTTCTGTCATTGTAAAACAGGATATCCCTTCACTGGCACAAGAGTTGTCTGTGTTTGTGGTGCCTGGTGCCTCAGCTTCACCCAGAAGTGAATGTTCACAATGCAGATTGGAGGCCTCATCCAAGACTCTGATTAAGCAGGCCTGGGTGAGATGCAGACCTCTCCATTTTTTTAACTAGCACCCCAGGGAATCAAGAAGCAGCTTCCTGGCAACTTGTAGGGTGACTTGGAGAAATCACAGCCAGAAAGTCCTGAGTTGTCAGGGAACACAGTAGGACTGCAAAGGAGATTCTGGAATGTTTCCTGGAGGAGGCAGTATTTTCTCTGTGCCTGGAATGAGGAATACAAATGGAACATTGGAAGTGAGTTGATGAGCAAAGGCTCAGAGGCAAGATGCTGGAGTGCAGGTCTGTAAAGGGCCCGGAGCTCTGGTCTCCTGGGGTTGGACAAGGAAACGGGAGATCTCTAACAGAGTTTTAAAGAAACGCTTAGGTGAGTTTTTTTTCCTCCATCCTTGGGCTGGAGACTAACATGGGAGCATGTCATGACAACCATGCCTGCCTGTCTGCTCAGATTTTTTTTCCCTCAGAACATCTAGTGACACGGTTAACCTTAAAAACTCATCTGCAAAAACCTACCACTTCTTCCTGTGTTTAAGATAATACTTTCTGTACACGCTATGGCAGCAGATTTTCCCTGTAAAGGAACTAGCAGGAAATATTTTCGACTCTGTGGTCTTGTTGTAACTACGGGACTCCACCACTGTAGCCCCAAAGCAGCTGCTGACAACTGGCGAAGATATGGGAGTGGCTGTGTCCTGAGAAAACGTTACTCACAAAGACGAGTCATGAGCCAGTCCCTGGTGTAAAGAGAGGCACAGTTTAATTAGGACAAGGTAAAAGAATAGACAGTCTTGTCTGCATGGGGAGCCCAGGGACCTGAAGTGGTGATAGGCATGTGACTGCAGTATAGAGAGTAGAGCCCTGGGATTGGTCAGCTGTATGCTGCGGAAGGACTTAAAAAAAAAAAAAAACCACTCATCAGATGATAGTATCTTTATCCTCCTCCATCTTTTTCTTAGAAAATGGGCTTTGTATTTAGGGAAGTTCTTGTTTGATGAAATAATATGTTTTTGTCACAACTTTACCTAAGAACACTTCCATTAAGCTGCTAATTTCTGCTGCCAGTTGTGGAGACCACCCTGGGGCACTTCTGCTTGCTGTACAGTGTGGTCATGTATCCTCCTGCTCGTACTGCTTGTGGCAGATGGTGTGTGTGGCTGGACAGTGAACATGTGAGCTGGCATATGTGGCCATTTCCAGAGCATCCTGGGAGACCAGGGCAACACATGTGCAGATTTTCTGTCACCACCTGCTTTCAAAGGAATTCAGGATCCCAGTGACTTGAAATGAGGGAACTTCTTGGTAGCTGTGTTCTCAGGACTTTTGGTCAAAGTTAAGGTGTAAAACGTTTGCCCTAAACGGTGCCCAGATCCAGACAAGGTCAAGAAGAGTTCATGACATCGGGGGCGGAACCCAGAACCAGTCTTCACTTTCCTGTCCAGTGAGTCACCAGTGCAGTGTCAATTGCCCTGTTCCTAGGACAAGGCCTCTGAATGCAACCCACATAACGTGGTCCTGGGATGTGTTGCTTGAAATCTGAGACAATAGTAAAGCAGATGTTATTTGGGCCATTTGAGACGACATCCATTCCTGATTAGATGTTGACCTCCCTTTACCCTTTTAAGACATTTATGAAAAGTTACCAAATCAAACAGGGTTTTTCTTTGATAAACATTCCCACTTCAGTTGACCTTCACTTCTACTTTTGATGCTACTGTGCTCTGGGCTCAATTATAAATAGGCGGTTGGTGGAGGGCATGCCCATGTGAATGACTGCTAACAACACATCTGGTTTGTACTGTGTAGCCTGCCTCTATGCCCTAGAGCCAGCATCCTGCCTACTCTCAATTGATTTCCTTGCATGAGTAAAACAGCCGGGAGAACAAAAGAATCTTGACCCTGTATCTGGCACAGAGAGGTATGTGCTGCCTCTGGGCTTATAATGTGGCTGCTTATCCTTCAGACAGAGCCACCTTCTCTCAGCCCATTTCCTGTCCCAATCTGGGCAGGACTTGCTGTCGGAATGCAGAGAGGCGAGTGCTGAGTTCCCCGACCGGTGGCCAGGACACTGATTCAAGGCTGCCAGGGAGTATTTCAGAAGTATCTGGACATCTGGGAGTTCCCAGCCCTGCACACAGAAGTTGTTTTTATATTTTACCCGGAAAATAGTGTTAAAAATAGCAGTCAAGTTCTTATGTTAGCCTGTAAAACTACCTTTATACAGCTGTAGCTGAAATGCCTTCCACTTTCAAAGAAAATGGCAAATTTTTTGAATTTGAGTAGTTCAGATGTTTAGAAAGTCAGCATGAAGTATCCAAAATGTAATTGAATGGTGGCATTTGAGGATTGTAGGCAGGAGATTTAACAGAGTCCATATGCTTCCTGGGTCTGCTTTATTTTATTAAAAAAAATTATTTTGAGATAAAGCAAGGGGCAGAGGGAGAGAGAAATAAAGCAGACTCCTGGTGAGTGCATATACCCACGTGGGGCTTGATCCCAAGATACTGGGATCATGATGAGAGCCAAAACCAAGAAGTCTGATGCTTAACTGACTGCGCAACCCAGGTGACCCTGGGTCTGCTTTAAAAATAGGGTTTAAAATGCTTTTTGAGTATTGTTTGTGATTAAGCAGAATATTATGTCTACTGTTGATTTATAAGTTACGGTTTTTCTTTCCTCAATAGCTCTAGATCACTAACACAATTATGATGCATATCCTCTAAGATTTTAGGGCTGATTTGATTTACAAAATGGAATGACGGGAGAGATTTTTTTTTTTCTGTGATAACCAATAAGGATATAAAGGCAGGGAGGAGGGGAGTGGTAAATGGAAGAGACCCCGATGTTTAAGAAGGTGATCACAAACTCAGCAGGGAAGCGAGACACCCAAACACCTGACATCCTTTACTCCCAAGGGGGAAATGTGGTGATGGCAGGGCCTGGGCCTGATGTTGGGGTGCTGGCGCTGACCACAGGGCTCCCCCAGGGCCCTTGCTGGGACTGTGGGGAGAGCAGCAGGAGAGGAAGACGGAGAAGCCGGCGGCCCTGGCTAAATGGTGGAGATTTGTGTGGACTGGGGCTCTTTCTCCCTCACGTGCCTGCATTTACTCATGTGCTATGTTCTATGGAAAAGACTGTTAAGCTGTCAAATCGTGAACTACCTCGGTAGTTCCTGATGCCGTGATCATGGTTTTGGTCTCGTTTCTTTTAGGTTACCCCTGTTTCAGGCCAGTGCTTTTGCATTTCTGGCCCCTGCTCGAGCCATCCTGTCTTTAGATAAATGGAAATGTAACACCACAGGTAACTGCAGTTATTTCCACGTACGTCATTGGGGTCCCTTAGCACAGGTGATAGAAGGGAGGCCTGGATGTGCTGCCCTTGGCAGCCTTAAATCCTTTCTGGAATTGGGCACAGAACACACAAACCAATAAACCGCTTAGAACACTCCAGTCTGTGGATCGTGTTTCTGTCTCTCTCTCTCTCCCCACTTGTTCATCCCTAATCCCAGAGCAAGTAAGGACCAGAAAGGACATCATTTCTCTATGCTAATGAAATTAATAAATATGGGAATGGACTAGAACAACATTGTGCTATTTTTCTGCCTCTTTCTTTCAGTGGATTTTATGAACCACCAATAATCACTCTCTTTGCTGCGTCAGCATCCCTTCTCTGAAACATCTCTGCTTTTTGAGGATCTGGCTGCTTTGGTTTTCTGCAAATGACTTTCAGTCCCTACCCCTTTGCCCTCTCCATTAGTGATTACAGAGATCCTTAAATAACCCGATACGGTCAGGGAAAAATGAGATAAGAGGTTTGAGAAAATCAGATAGACCTGTTGTACTCTCAAAATGCTGTTAGACTTTTCGGTTCTAGGAGCAAAGTTTTCCAACCTTTGTTTCCTTCCTTGCTCCTAGGAATTAGTTTGTGACCACTGATTGGATTTAGGAACTGGAAAAGGCCCTCTGTTTTAAAAACCTCAGTCAGGCCACCTTGCTCTTGGGCATTTCACTTAGCTGCTTGCAAAGGTTGGTCTTTGTGTGAGGCTGGCACTAGCAACATGCATCCCCAGTTAAGTCATCTTTTGACGCGCTGGGAGCGCTCAGTCGATGAATAAATTTGCTTCCATTAGCATTGGGGAATCTACTTTTCAGTATGGTAAAGCTATACTGTGGTAACTTGAATTTTAGGGAGGGGAACTTTATACATAAAACAGGGAGGAGATTTCTTCTTGCAAAGAGTAAAATGAATATATCCTGTACAACATTAGTGTCACTCCAAAAAAATGTCTTTGTTTTTGTTTTCAAGATGTTTCAGTGTCCAATGGAACCACAGAGCTGTTACACACAGAGCACATCTGGTATCCCCGGATACGCGAGGTAAAAGAGGAGCATTGTCCGCTTGTGGCTTCATTGTTGACTGTGTCCAAGAAATTGTAGTTACTTGCACTAAGCCCTCCTTTTCCTTTTCAGCTGCTGACATGTTTATTTCTGTTGTGAAACTAAATTTAGATGACGTCACCGTAAAACAAAGCATGCAAAAATGCTTTGTGCAGCCAGACAGTATTGTTTCTTGCCCTTCATTCCTTTCCCCATCTCCTCCTCCCCCACCCCTTGTGCCCCTCCAGTGTGACCGGCCAAGGGGCATGGCTCCCTTGGAAGGAGCTATAGAGACTTGCCTGGGGGCAGCAGAACTCTTCATCCCAGGCTGCATTTGTTTGTGTGTATGTGGAGAGAATTAAAGCTGCTTGTCTGCTGTGGTGCACTTGAATGAAACAGGGCATGGGAGTCCTCAGACATGAAGAATGGCTTACAGCTCATCTAGATCTTCTCAAACCTGGAAGATATTTATTTCACCGCTAGTTCAGAATGGGCACAGATACAGCTGTTATCCACAGTAGAAACATTCCTTTAGAATTTGTGTCAGTAACACTATCTTCTAAATGTCCCTCAGGGTCTCACTCTAGAGTTTGTGCTGTAGTGTCCCTCTGAGGCTGGGTTTGAATGTCCTATGTCTTGAGCGGGAGTGATAAATCTAGTCTGTGGGGAGGCATATTGGCTGTACATCAGTACCCATTTCTGTAATGCTTCTATGTCAACCATGTCATTCATAGGTTGGCTAGACCCCATTCACCCTACTCGTTTCTTTTGGGGCCTCAGGAATATTCCATCTGTGTCATGCCTGTTAGGTAATAACTCGCTGCTTGGCAGAACTTTCCAGTGTGGTTGCGGGTGACATTTGAAGTCTGCGATCTATAGGCAGCTCACTCTCCTGTCCGTGTCCTCTCTCTCATTCTAGATACAGGGCGCCATCATCATGTCCTCACTGATAGAAGTGGTCATTGGCCTCCTAGGCCTGCCCGGGGCTCTGCTGAAATATATTGGACCCTTGACTATCACACCAACGGTGGCTCTCATCGGGCTGTCAGGCTTCCAGGCAGCAGGAGAGAGAGCGGGGAAGCACTGGGGCATCGCCATGCTGTGAGTAATCTAGACCACTTAGCACAGACTGTCAGCACCTCCCCTTCCCCTTCCCACCACCCAGGGCAGCCTCTATTTTGAGCATTTACACAGACCTTAGGAGATAGTTTTGTTTTATTTGTTTTTTTTAAAGTAAGAATAGAAATAAATAAATAAATAAATAAATAAATAAATAAATAAATAAATAAATAAATAAATAAATAAAGTAAGAATAGTTTGGCAGTTTAATCTTGATTTGTTTCTTTCCAGGAAGTTATTGAAGGGTTTAAGCCCCAGAGATTGGGAAGTGACATACAGTCAAGGTATTCTAAAGACCTGTTTGGCAGTGATGTATATAGAGAGATTTGTAAGGTTTCAGACTTTAGGAAGTGTGTGTAAGATGGTGGTGGCATTAGTTTTTAACTTTTGAGGTCATGCCAAGTCTCCTGCACATGAGAGAAAATACCGAGAAGCTGAATCCTTTAGATGAAAACTTGGGTGGGGTGGGGGACCTTCTGGATTGGCAGGAGACCGAGATGCTGCAGGAGGGTCTGTTGGCATTGAAGGAAATGTGACTTCCCAGGCTTCTGCACATATCTGTGGGGAGGTCATGGCTCCTGCCAGAGTCCTGTCAGTCATTGCTGGTCCTTCAGGATGGAACTTCAAGTCTATTAAATATGTCACTTACCCCTTTATATGTCATCAGTAATGATATCGAGGACTTTGATAATATTTTAAGGTTAGTTTTTAGAGCCATGGAATTCTGTATGCCACAAATAGAACCTCACATTCTTTTTGTGTTCCTGGAGAGTGTATATAAGAGTTGATCTTGTCACAGGGAAATGGTTCAAAACCTGGAATTTTGCCAACCAACAAAATTTCTAAAAGTAAATAATAGAAGGGAATTTCCAGTTGTTTTTGTTTTGTGAGGTCTTCTGTAATTATTAAACAATAAGCAGCACCTCTTGAGCCCATGGATTAGTAGTGCTTTGCCAAACACCCGTGCACACTGTAAATTAAGGTAGGCCCCAGTGTTATCCCCATTCAATAGCAAGAGGGGCAGAGGCACAAAGATGCACAGCTAGTAAGTGGTCAGCATGGCTTTCAGAACCCAAATAGTCTGACCAGAATTTACCCTATGACACTTAAACCTGCCTATCTATTTTGGAACATGGTGAGCAAGTAAAATGCACCCTTGCATAGTTATAATCCATCTATCCTTACAAATTAAGGTATGTGAAAATGTCCAGGATTGTTCATGGGTGTGGAGAAGGGCATGGAAGAATGTTTGTTCAGGGAAATGCAGTAAGTTCCAAGAAGGAGAAAATGTAATTAGCATCATACAGTAAAATTAGGTCAGCAGAAAAAGGGTGAACAAACCCCCAGACTGCTGAGAAGTTGGAAAACACTATTATAAATGACTCTTAGAGGGGAGATTGAAACTTCACAATTACTGATAATGTAGAAGATGATGGTGAGAACTGACCAATCCCATAGAGCAGTCAGAAAAAGGTACAATCTTGAACACCTGGGTGGCTCAGTCTGCTTGTCCCTCCCCCTCTGTTCCCCCTCAAACTCTCTGTCTCTCAAATAAAAAAAAAATCTTTTTTTTTTATAAAGATTTTATTTATTTATTCATGAGAGAGACACAGAGAAAGGGAAAGGCAGAGACACAGGGAGAGGGAGAAGCAGGCTCCATGCAGGGAGCCTGACGTGGGACTCGATCCCAGGTCTCTAGGATCACGTCCTGGGCTGAAGGTGGCACTAAACCGCTGAGCCACCCGGGCTGCCCACAAATAAAAAATCTTTAAAAACACACACACACACACACACACACACACACACACACACACACAATATCTTTAAAGCAAAGTGCATGAAGAGCTTATCTTTAGAAACTTGAAAAACAGGATAAAAATGAGCCTAATAGAAGCAAGGGATCAAAAATTAATACAAATACAAAAATAGGAAACATATAGAAGTGAAAAATCCCAATGTTGGTTCTTTGGAAAATAACATGTGAACACACTTTTGACAAGGTTAATTGAGCAGAGAAGGGAGTGAATGCACAGATGCAGGATAAAACCTTAGATCCAGAGAGGAAGAGTTATAGCTATGCTCCCTGTCCCCAGATTTAAAAACAGCAACAACAGCAACGGCAAATTAATAAAATGGGTGGTTTACAGAAAAGCATAAAAACCAAAAGGGACTCCTCCCCAATCACTGACCACTAAATGTTGGGGTTCCTCAGAACCTGATCCCAAGCAGCCTCCCCACCACATGCTTTTCCCCCAGGAGGCCTCATCTAGTGCATGGCCCCAGCAAACCTTTTACACTGGTGACTTCACAAGAGCCTGCAGCCCAGACTTCTGGACACCAGACTTAGAGTCCAAGCCCTGGCCTGCACCCTCCAGTTGCTGTTACACAGGACTGTTACACCTCAAACTTCAAAGGGAGAAAGTGTTAAACTTTTGACTCTCTCCTTGCCCCTGAACCAGTGCCCTCTTCCTGCCATCCTGTTCTCAATAGGGGCCACGATCACATAGCCAGCTGATCAGCTGGAAACCCTGCTGGTGTCCCCGATTCTTGGCTTTCTCTCTTCCTCATGTGCAGGCCATCTTTCTGCCTCACCTCCAGAGTCAGTCCCCCACTTGACAATCTTCACTGTGGGTTGTTGCTTCCAAACTGGTCTCCAGCTTCTCTCTTGCTCCCTTCCTGCCTGTACACAGCCCTGTGAAGTACTAGGCCACTGTTTGCTCCTGTCTCCTCCTTTTGAAACTGCACTTGGACCCAAGCTAGAATTTTGGAGGCTTGTGGGTCTTCTCATTGTGTCTACAACCTCCCTTGCCATCCCTCGTTCTGTTTACATCTTGCACTGGGCACTTGGGGCCTTTTTACTCTGGAATGTCCAACTTTTGAGGGGTGGGGGGCAGGTGGGGAATGATCTTGAATTATTTCATGGATGCCTTCCTCCCTTCCATTCTTCTTGTCTCTTTCTGGAACTTCTAGAATATTGGACCTCCCAAATATTCCGTTTCTGCTTTCCGTTTCTTCACGTTTTTCTCTGTGGGAAAATTCCTCAGTTGTATCTGTGCATCCTTCTGTTGAGCTTTTCTTTTCTGCTCTCATGTTTCTTAGTTTTCACCCTGCTTCTTTTGTACTTGAGACGCTATATCCGGGAGGGCGAGGCTTCTGCTCAGTGCTAGTCCCTATGGTACCTCCAGCACCTGGCTCCCCACCTGTCAAGAGCAGGTGTTCAATAAGCACCTCGTAATAAGTGAGTGGGGGACAGGGGTATGTGAGTCCACCCCTGACCACAGGAAGATCAGGAATGCTGTCAGAGGATCTTATCCCTAAAAAAAGTTCTGAGCTACAGTTGTTAGTAAGTATATTATATTTCAAAGAAGAGAGAATTCATGCACTGGTGAAGCGGTTCTGGCACTTTAAGAAACAAGGGAAACTTCCCAGGCAATTTTATCTCAATGACAGATCCTGACAGAGCAAATACAAAAGGGAAAGCTTGGACCAACATTTACTTTCCTCCCTAGAGTTGGTATAAAGCCCCAAGCTGAGTTCAGATATGTTTAGGTTAGTAGTATGCTAAGGCTCAGTGTCTTTCTCTACTTTAAGTCTCCTTGTGATCTTTTATTTTTTTAAAAAAGGTTTTATTTGAGAGAGAGAGAGTGCACATGGGCACACACACAAGCAAGGGAAGGGGCAGGGAGAGAGAGAGAGAGAGAGAGAGAGAGAGAGAGAAGCAGACTCCCTGCGGAGCAGAGAGTCCCCACCTGGGGCTCGATCCCGGGATCATGGCCTGAGCTGAAGGCAGGCATTTAACTGACTGAGCCACCCAGGCACCCCTCCTTGTGATCTTTCAAAATGTAAATGTGCAGAAGACTCTTCAGAAAAAGGCCTTAGTGTCTAGCCCTGTGCACACAATTTTTTTCGTGCCATATCTATTAACATATCTTGGAAGAATGTTCTTTGGAATATTGTTTGGAAAATGATGCTATAGATAATACTAAAAAAGCCAACACATATGTTTATCACTTTAGAAATTCAAGGATGATTAAATATTAGAAAATTTATTATTAAAATTCATTATGGGCCTATGATGGATTTAATTAATAAAAAACATAATGACAACTAAATCAGTCAAATTCAATCTGTATCTCAGCTTCCAACTGTTAACAGTATGGGAATAGAAGGATGTTTCATGAATAAGATTTTTAAGTGCCTTATCCTTTAATGATGAAAGACTTAAATATCAGGCCTGCCTTCTGAAATCAGAAACCAAGATAAGCATGTTTATTATTACCAGTATCATTTAAGGTTGTTCTGGATGTCCAAATCCTTGAATAAGAAAATGAAGTAATGTGGGTCATTCCCAGAAAGGTCAGAGAAAAGGGAACGATAACTCTCCTATAAGAATTTAAATACATTTCAGAACCTAATAACAGCGCTGTGGTCCTGGGACAGGATAGAGCAGAATGGGAGCAATAGAAACAGAACCAAGAAGAAATTAGTATTTAGTGTATGATGGCAGTCATACTGGAAATCAGGGGGGAATAGAAGAATTAAGAAAAACTAGATAATTATTTGGAAAGAGTTTATATTCCTAGTTTATATCAAATTACAATTTAAGTCGAATTAAAGACTGAAGTATAGAAAATAAAACAATAAATGTGCCAGAAGAAAACCTACACAAATATTTATTTATTTATTTTTAATTTATTTATGATAGTATGATATTTAATTTATTTATGATATTATTTATGATAGTCACAGATAGTCAAATAAATAAATTTATTTATTTATGGGAGAGACACAGGCAGAGGGAGAAGCAGGCTCCATGCACCGGGAGCCCCACGTGGGATTCAATCCCGGGTCTCCAGGATCGCGCCCTGGGCCAAAGGCAGGCGCTAAACCGCTGCGCCACCCGGGGATCCCTACATAAATATTTAAACATAGGATGGGGTGGATCTTTCTTAAAGCAGATAATGAAGAGAAAGATTGATAGATTTTACTACTGATGCATTTAAAACTCCTATCAAAACCCACTGAAGCTAAATTATAAATGAATTTGGGAAAATATTTATAACATGCCATTAAAAAGGCTAATGTCATTAATTTATAGTTTCATTAAAAGAGAGAGTCTTGGTGGAGTAATGAGTGAATGATATGATATAAGCAGCCATTTAACAAGAAAAAGGAAGTAGAAATAGCTGATTATCATGTAAAAAGGGTTACCCTCCCCAGTTCTCAAAGTACATATTCACAAGGATTTATTTATTTGAGAGAAAGAGACTATGAGCACACATGTAGGGGAAGGAGTAGAGGGAGAGAGAATGATGAAGCAGACTCCCCACTGATTGTGGCGCCTGACACGGGACTTGGTACCAGGACCCTGAAATCATAACCTGAGCCGAAATCAAGAGGCAGCTGCTTAGCCGACAAAGCCACCGAGGTGCTCCTTCATAGGGATTTTATTAGCATTGGGAGTAGTGGTGGTGGATCAGATTGTACTGACGTGGGTTCTTAAGTCAGCCAAAAGAGGCACATTTAGAGACAGATTCTCAAGGGAGGGCAAATGGGGTAACATTTCCAAGCCCGTGCATTGGTCCCGCCTGGGAACCATTTTTCTTGAGAAAACATTATTTTGATTACTTATGTACCAAATTTCGAACCTATTTAAGGATAGAACAGTGTAATGAACCTCCAGGTACCATCACCACATACTCAAAGAAGTCTCGTTTCCTTTCTTCCCCCAAAATATATTAAAATTCTAGTTATTTGAAATTTAACAGTAATTAAACAGAGGAAATCTAAAGTAAGGTAATAGTTCCTCCCACCCACTGCCACCCCTCCAAAAAAAAAAAAAAAAGTCATGATTAACTAGTGAAAAGTTAGTAATTGCCCTCTATGCATAAATACAGTGCATGTATGCAGCTTTACTGTGGTCATCTGCTTTTCACTCTAACAGTTTGTTGGGCTCATCTCTCCAAGACAGTGTGTTTAGATCTATTCCATTCTTTGTAAATTGAACAATGTTAAATAGTATGAAATGGTGTAAATTTATGAAAACATTCCTCACTTGATACTCATGTTTGAAATACTTGCTGTTGTAAATAATGCTGAAATACATACTATTATGTGTCGTGTAAGGAATGAATATTCAAATAAATGACTACAGTTTTTTAAATGGATGAAGTTGGTAGAGATTTAAAAGTATAAGATCCTATGGGGCACCTGGGGTGACTCCTTTGGTTAAGTGCCCGGACTCTTGATTTCTGGCTCAGGTCATGACCTCAGGGTCCTGGGATCCCTGCTCAGCGGGGAGCCTGCTTGTTTTCCTTTTCCTGTGCCCCTCCCCCTACTTGCTCTCTCTCATTGTGTCTCTCAAATAAATAAATCTTAAAAGCGTAGGACCTTGTATTGTAGTGAGTAGCAAGTGGATGTCTTTGTCTCTGGGTAGGATTGTAAATTCATCCAACTTTTATATATTTGGCAGCTTGTATGAAAAGCTTTTCAATAAAGAAAAGCTTTTTAATAAGGTGTTTACTGTTTGACAGACCCATTCTAATTCTAGGAACCTGCCACAGGGTGATGTATAGACAGGTACCAGGAAAGGGTAATCTATCACAGTTGTTTATGTTGTTCCTGCTGTCACACCATATGGAAATTGTGGAACAAGATGTGGTATGTCCATAAGATAGAATGCTAAGTAGCCACTAAGGTGCTGTTGCCCATTTCCATCTGTTGAGGTTGTGGCATTGCAGGGGCTATAAGCTAGTTGGGAAGTACATAGTGAAATGTGATTCCATTTTGGGTCAGATGATGACCTATTGGTGCTCCCAGGGCAAGGGTGACGTCAGGCAGTCCCATGTCCCTCTCTAACCCCAGTGCCCCAGACCTAGTGACGCCCTGTAAATATCCAGGGAATGAAAGCTATTCAGAATCTATAGACCAGAATGTTATATAGTTATACACAGGGGTGGGATAATGTGTAATCTTCAAGATTTTATCTTTTTGCTTATCTGCCTTTTATAATTTTCCTACATTTTAGTCTGCATTGCTTGCATAATGTTCGTAAGGTAAAAGGTCAACAAACCAGTGGTTGGACAGAACCCTGGCCTGAGGACATGAGGCTGGCTCATCCTTTCCCCATCTCTGAGCCTCTGCTGCTGCCTCTCTGCTATGGGACCGCTTGCCCTACCTGCCCCACAGGCCTGTTAAGGATAAACAAACTAGAAGGGGGTGGGTTTTAGAGTGGCAAGAAGATGGAGTGTTCGCCTGTCTAGTCTACTTGCTTCATTTGTGCTGCCGGATTTGGCCTGAGGTCTGAGTGTCCTTCCTGGAATTCTGTGTGTGTTCTCCCTCCCCTTGTAGATGTACTTTGAAAAGTGAACACTGCAGCGCAGGTGATAACAGTCAGGTGGGGGTGTTGCCTGAAATAACGATAATAGACTTGGGGCCTTTTGGGATCTCATAGTATTCACTTTGAAATAAATTGGCATTTTTTGGAACTCGAAAATTCTATGTTGACCTAAATTTAAAGTACACCAGTTTTAGTACCTATCATTACCATAACCATCTTTTTGTTAAACTTCACCACCTGGAGGGGAATTGAAACAGCTTGGGCACCATGTATAAATTTCCAGCCTTGAGCTGGTAGTGGCTCAGTGACTTTGTGTTTGGGCTGAGACTCCCATTGCCAGGTGAGCAGACCACTTGAGTAGGTGGGGAGAGGATGGAGCAGCATAGGCCTGTTCTCCACCTGGCTGTAGACCACATGCCTTGTCAGGAATGTGACAGTGAAGCTGCACTTGACCGGCTGTCAGCGAAGCTGATAATTTCATCTCCACAATTGGAGCTGTGCCCGGGAACAATTAAGCTGAGCTTTGACTGGAACCCATTCTTATGCCAACTCTCCCTCCCTCGGGTTGTAAGTGAAAGAGTGCTTCCCTGTGGGTGATGAAACACATCGTTGTACCTTCATTGTGTCAGCGATGGGAAGCCATCCCACACCTGCCACACTTGGTAGCAGACAGATGAGGACATGTCGGGTCCTGCTACAGGGGAGTTACCTGACTTTGCTGACTCCCGTGGTCCTCAGTATAGTTGGGTCAGGGGTGTGGGACTCAAGGTAGAGAGCCTTCTAAGTCAGCGCCAGCATCCCTACCCTTACAACAATGTGGCAGGGTAGTTCAGAGCCCAGGCTGTCGAGCTAGACCGCCTGGCCCACCTGCCCTGCAAACTCTGGCTGCATGATTTTGGACTACTGGCTTTGGGACATGGATGGTCATAGAAGCCACTCCTGCAGAAGGCTGGGATGATGAGCAGGGCAACCTTCACATAATGTCTAACACAAGCCTTTCAGGGATGTTATTAGTGTTGAATTCTCTACATAGCCTTCTCAAATATTGAAGCTTTTTGAAAGCAGTTTATGCTTTTGATATGTAAATCAGAAAGTATGGAAAAATAGAAGTTCTCAAGACATATTGTCACCTGCAGTCAATTCCTGTGAGCATTTTAGCCCCTATCCTCCTTACCTATTTGCATGCATGCATGTGTGTGCATGCCCGTGTAGCAATTGCTTGTTTTGTAGTTAATTCATAGTTGTGATTATAGTATGCATTGTCTTGTATGTGGTATCTTTTTCCCTTATGCAGTGTGTTCATCTCTCATGAGTATGTGCATTCTTTGGGTTTTCTTACTCTGTTAAGGAAAATTTAGCCAAGCATTATATGGCAATTTCACTTAGTATCAAGATATGCTTAGAACTATCTTTCCAAAAATGGCATTTCCAAAACATAGGATTTTCCAAATAACAGTTAAGAGGAATAGCAGCTTTGTAGAGAAATGAACATATATCGTCAGTTTTGTTGTTGAAGCATTGAGTATTATTTTAAAACACAGTCATAGATCCATTAACCTAGTTTATTTTCTCTTTCTCTCATCAGGACAATTTTCCTAGTATTACTATTTTCACAATATGCTAGAAATGTTAAATTTCCTCTCCCAATTTATAAATCCAAGAAAGGATGGACCGCATACAAGTTACAGCTTTTCAAAATGTTCCCTGTGAGTAGTCACTTTTGTTTTTCTGACAATATTGCCTTTGTTTATGTGAAAGGAAGTTTTAAGCAGATCTTCCTGGGGGAGCTGTGTCCAAGTGGTGACATCAGGGTACTAATAACAACCAAATTGCCATGGGTTAAGGTTTACCAGTGGTAGAAGATTTTGATTCTGAAATCCTTTCAGGAGTATGAAGGAGGACACTGTTCTTTTTATAATTTTTTTTTTATTTTTTTAAATTGGAATTCAATTGGCCAACATATAGCATAACACCCAGTGCTCATCCCATCAAGTGCCCCTCTCAGTGCCTGTCATGCACTCACCCCAACTTCCCTCCCACCTCCCTTTCTACTACCTCTTGTTCGTTTCCCAGAGTTAGGAGTCTCTCATGTTCAGTCATCATCACTGATTTTTCCCACTCATTTTCTCTCCTTTCCCCTTTATTCCCTTTCACTATTTTTTTATAGATGACACTGTTCTTGAGGCAGAGGGAGATCTGTGTTCTCATGGCCTCTGCAAGTGCATCATCCATTATTATTTTCTAGCCTGACTGGGGATTAAAATAACTTTACCTACATAAAACTGCTCTCTCTAAATGCGATTCCACTCAAAGAATAGGCTCTTAGCAAAATCTGTAATGTGTTTTTTTTCTGCAAAGTACTGTGAGTGGTGGAAGTTCTGGGGTATGATACTCAGAGCATAGGAAGGGGTGTGTTTTGCTAGCATCCACCACCTCTTTTGGCCTCATGGAGCTTTTCCCTTTGACCACTTTAGATCATCCTGGCCATCCTTGTGTCCTGGCTGCTGTGCTTCATCTTCACAGTGACAGATGTCTTCCCTCCTGACAGTACAAAGTATGGCTTCTACGCTCGAACAGACGCCAGGCAGGGCGTGCTCCTGGTAGCCCCGTGGTTTAAGGTCCCGTACCCGTGTAAGTATTCTGATGGCCAGAGGAAGAGGGGTCAGGACCTCACAGGAGCCCCATTTAGAGGAGCTGGAAGGTGACAAAAGATTCTGCAGCTTGAAAAGCGTTCTTTGTCCTAGAATGTCCCTTGAAGGTCTTACCATTTGAAGGATTTGACAGCGGAAAAGGGGAAGGGCCCTGTCCTCAGAGGGCTGTCCTTAATGCTCAGAGACTAGCAAGTTCCTCTCTCAGATTAATTGGTTCTTTTGGTTCTACTGGGATGAAATCCTGGACAAGGAGTCTCTTGCCAGGGTTGAGGAAGGCAAGTATAGAGCTGCCTAGTACCTAAGCCGCCCACACTGAACAGGCTTGAGTGAGAGGGACCTGAAGATTAGCAAACTGACTGCTCAAGCATGATGGGATTTGTGTAATCTTTTAATGGGTAGCTATAATCTTTGTTTTTTATTTGGTCCCAGCTGTCAGAAGTAAACTAATACTCACCAATGGGTGGAAGATGGCTCTTAAGTTATAATTTAAGTGTTGGGTAACTCTTGGCAAGGTGTGTGGGATGAGGGGTGCAAGCCCAAGCTGAGGTTATCACTTGGATTTACAAGTGATACTTTCTAGGCCCCAGCCCCAAAAGTGACTTGAGTGAATCCAGTGGTTATTCATGCTTGGTTGTTCTTTTGTAAAGACACCATTCCTGGCACTTGGACCTTTTAATCAGAACCAAAACCTGGCTTTGGTCGGGTGGTGCTGATTAATTCTCCTGCTGCAACCACATCTTCACATTTTATGATAGGAGAAAAAGCCGAAAAAGCTGAGAATATTAAGATTGGGTCAAAGAAAACTGTTCTGAGCATGTTAAATGACCGTGATGTTGGTAGTTGTTCCTTCTATCATTGACATGTTTATACTTTAAAAAGCTTACTGTTTATAAAATAATGTTCTCGTCAGGTCATTTGGTCTAAGCATGTATTTATGTACACCTGTCCCTTTTCCCAAAAAAAGAATAAATGCATGGTTTGTAAACAGACATATAATCTGAGATAAAATGAGATTAAATCAGTTGACCAGGCAGTTAAGGGGAGGTGTGGGAGAGCAGGTAGGAGGAAGCCCCATGGCACCTGCTGGGAGGGCTTCTGTGCTGTGCAGGCCGGTCCCAAGATGAACACAAATGAGGAACACAGGAAGAGTAGCTGTGCATGTGCTGGGAGACCAGAGATCTCCCGGGGCTCTCCCAGGCCCATGCATGAGGAGACGTGAGCGAGTGGACCAGGCACTTGGCACCAGGATGGCTGCCAGTCTGTCAGCCCTTAACTGCCATAAGCTGCTATATGGCCACAGTTTCCCAGACAGAAAGGCGCCTCCGGAGAACCAAGAGGATGCATTCTCTGACAGTTTGGCTTAATCTGGAGACAGGTTTTCAGATGTCTGTGGCTGTGGTCCTTAGTCTTTTGTATGATAAAAATTGTTAAAATACAGATTTGAGGCCCAAGATGTCAACAGTGCTGAGGTTGAGAAACTGCTGTAAAGTAACAATGTAAGTTAGGTGTTCTAGTTAAAAGGGGAAATGAAATAAGTTAAGACAAAAGGCTGGAAGCCAGCAGGATTTATGTGCATGCACGCACACACACATGCACACACAGGCATGCAGGTAGCTGACTCTTTTTTTTTTTTTTTTTTTGGTAGCTGACTCTTGAACAGATGGGGGGTTGGGTGGGGAGGTGGTGCACCCCACCCCACAACTGAAAATCCGCATATAACTTCCTTCTCCCAAACTTCACTACTGAGAGTCTACTTTTGATCAGAAGCCTTACGAATAACATCAGCAGTCAATTAACACATTTTGTATGTTACATGTTTTATATACTGTATTCTTACAAAAAAGCTAGAGAAAAAAATGTTATTAAGAAAATCATAAGGGAGAGAAAATACATTTATACCACTGTACTGCATCTATTGGGAAAAACCTGCAAATAACTGAACTGGTACATTTCAAACCTTTGTTGTTCAAGGGTCAGCTGTAGATAGAAACGATCTGAAGGAAGAGGGATCGAAAATGTAGAAGAGTACAGTTTAAAATCTTGAAGTAGGGCAGCCCGGGTGGCTCAGCGGTTTAGCACTGCCTTTGGCCCAGGGTGTGATCCTGGAGACCCCGGATCAAGTCCCACATTGGGCTCCCTGCATGGAGCCTGCTTCTGTCTCTGCCTGTGTCTCTGCCCCTCTCTCTGTCTCTCTCTCTCTGTCTCTCTCTCTCTCTCTCTCTGTCTCTCATGAATAAATAAATAAAATCTTAAATAAAATCTTGAAGTAAAAAAATAAAATCTTGAAGTAGATGGAATAAAGATTTTAAAAAAGTTAAGGGCTACAGGAAAAAGGGAAAAAATAAAACAGTAAGGAGACTAAGAAAATAAAAGGCAGTTTCTGAAGAAATAATAAATAGCAAAATAAGTATCCCTCCACCACCACCGCCGCCAACCAGCCAAATCAAGACACTAAAATGAAACCATAATGCTATGTCAGTAACAAGGTAACACTATAAAAGATTATTTAGGAAATATGAAGATGATATATGAATATAAATATAAAGAAAATATAAAATGTTGCTGGGTAAAGAAAAATATGCTCCTAACCCACCTGGGAATGCTGTGGTGACCAAGCACCCCTGTCTGCTCCCAGGCAGAAGCAGTTCTGCCCTCACACACTCCCAGGCTTGTCCTGTACACCTTACTTCATGTGTCCTCTTTCTCTTCCCAAACCCTGCATGTGGCTGCTCCTGTTACCTACGAGACACCTACCTAGCTCCCACCCAGGTCCCCCGGTGTAGCTTGTGTGGCTTGCCCAGCCTCTCCTAAACCTGCCTTCTCCATGCTGTTCTCACCTTCTGCTGAGCACCAGCCTAGTCCTGTGCACCCTCCTGAGTCTCTCTGGACCAGAACGGAGCCTCTTCCTAACTTATCCTTGTGACCAGTGTGGGTTGCCTTCATTTAAAGTCTGTTATATTCTTCTAGATCTTTCGGTGTCCTGATCCCCCAACTACTGCTGGCCTCTGTGTGAGATCATTTAACACATCTTTATTTGTCACTATGCTTTCTACTTAGTCACTGTGTGGTAGCTAATGGTTCAAGGAAAGAAGGCACATTATCAAAGAAGTCTCTTCTTTCTAACAGTAAAAGTGCCTCATGCTATTTTTTATTAAATAACATCCATGGCCTTCAATGTCCAAACAGCTATTTAAAAAAAAAAAAAGTGACCTAGGGACTTCTCTTTGCTTTCTTAAAGGAACCTATGTAATTTTCCATAACATGGTTTACTTAAAAATAGTGCTGATTTTACATAAGAGGGTTGTCTGTATCTTGTGGTTATGGAATGCTTTACTGCTGGAATTTAATTTTACCTGGTGACTTTCACTGCTTTTTCATTTAATGCCACTCCCCAGGCAAGATCACCATTATTTTGTGCCATGCTTTGTGCAGCAAGGTTAAAAAAAAATCCTTCTGATACAAATATCCCATCCAAATAGGAATTTCTACCCCAGCAGTCTGTGTTAAATTGTAATTTAGTAGACCCCGAGCATGGCTTTAAAGCAGGAAGAGAAACACCCTCTTCTGACCACTTTTTTAATAAAGATGGGGAACAGACCAGTCCTGGTTATGGCCACCTTCATCCAACTCAGGAACTATCCCCAGGCATCTGTTGCACTGAGTGACATTTAAAATAAGATTTTCCCTGAGCCTCAGAGTCTGAGTGCGTCATGTATTACTGTCTGATGTCCTGATTATTTTCGCCTGCCCTCTTTTGCCTTCCCTAGTTCAGTGGGGACTGCCCACCGTCACCGCAGCTGGTGTCATCGGCATGCTCAGCGCAGTTGTTGCCAGTATCATTGAGTCCATTGGGGACTATTATGCCTGTGCAAGGCTGTCCTGTGCCCCGCCGCCTCCCATCCACGCAATAAACAGGTACGTTCCTCAGAAAATGGAGTTCTTTCTTAGGCCCAATGCCTCATTACTTGGCTCTGGTCTGGTTAATCTTGGAGAAGAAAGCGAGTTTCAACATGGAAGCAGACAGGCAGCAGGGCTCTTTATTGGTTGTCTGTCTTTGGACAGGTCACTGCTCCTGTGTTGCTCTCATTTTCTCAACTGCCCTTCTTCTTTGCTTGGTTTGGGGTCGTGGATGGATGTCCCCTTTGATTTCTTGTCGTCTTTACTGTTCTTAGGGGTAAATGCTGTGTCATCTATTCACAGTTAAAATTCATATAGAGAAAGAGACAAGAAAAGCAGGAATAGGTAAAGTCTGCAGAAGCTAGAGACTCATGGGCTGTGGGGTTTATCTTCTCAACACACCTGGTCTTCAGTTTCTGGATGCTGAGAGTGAATTGGACCTTGTGGAGGCCACAGAGAAGAGTGCAGATCAGCCCCCTTTGCTCAGCCAGCTGCTGCCCTTCTGGAAGGGATTGCGTGTGATGAGCTCCAGTGGGCTGGTGTCTTAGCATGTCTTGCTTTGGTTCTGTTAGTGTTCACACTCCTGGTTTTTACAACTTTCTCTAATGGGTGTTGCATACGATTGAGTTACTTATATATTGATCCTTTAAAAAGCTCCAGTTTTGACCAAATTACAAAGCATTTCCTTCCTGATGAAACTATGTATTAGTAGTAAAGGAATCAGATCAGCAGACAGCACATATTTGTCTTAGAGCCCAACAAATGGCGCTGATTTCTGGCTGAAAGCCTTTAATTTGGAATGATTTTTTAAACATCTTTGTCTAATGTGTGGTTCACAGAAGTGCTTCTCACAGTTGAATGAGCATGAGGGATCCTGTTAAAATGCAGGTTCTATTTCAGCAGGTCTGGGGTGGGGCCCGAGACTATGCATTTCTAACCCTTCCCAGGAGTGTGGAGTCTCCCTGGCGGTGCATGGCACCTTTGGGCTGCGGCCACTTAGAGCATATTTTAGAGTGTTTCCCCCATTGAATGAATGTTTCTCTTTCCCCCATTCCTTTACATTTTAGGGGGATTTTCGTGGAGGGTCTCTCCTGTGTTCTCGATGGCATATTTGGTACTGGGAATGGCTCTACTTCATCCAGTCCTAACATTGGAGTTTTGGGAATTACTAAGGTACAGATATTTTTCTCATTAAATGGTTGGGCCTCTAAGTGTTGATCCATTTTATCAATTGGTCTAACCACTTGTGAATTCTAAAAGGAAGGCTTCTGATTCTGAGATCTTCTTCCCCCTCCATCTCCTTTTTCTCATTGATGGGTTTCTGGGATGCTGATGGGGAGATCTCCCTCCCGTGGCTGCCTGGATAGCTTCACTGCTTCATAGGCATTCCACAAATACTTAATAAGCACCAACCCTGTGCCAGGCTACTGTTCTAGGCACTTGGGATACATCAGTGAATAAAACTAAATTCCTGCTGTTGGAATTTATATTATAGACAGAGGAGGACAAACAGAAAGCATAATAAATGCGAGAAAAACACAGGGCAGGAGGGGGTATCTAGAGTAAGAGCTAGTAAGTGTGAAATAGGATCAGGCTAAGCCACCCTGAGATGACCTTGTGCAAGGACATGAACAAGGCAGGTGGAGGGAGCTGTTCAGGCCAAGGACATGGCCAGTGTGAGGTTTATCATGAAGCTGTGTTGGGAGAGCAGGCCCGTATGCTGCCCATCAGCAAGGAGGCCAGTGGGGCAGGAGCAAAGTGTGGGGTGGGGGGCAGTAAGAGCAGGGGACGTCCTTCAGGTAACTGAGGACCAGGTCACACCCTATAAGCTGCCAGAGATAGAGGGAATGGGGATCCTCCAGGCTGTGGCTCCATGATGTTTTTTGTTTTGTTTTGTTTTAGAGAGCATGTACGCTTGCACACATGCACACACAAGTTGGTGGGGAGAAGCAGAGGGAGAGAGTGCATCTTAAGCAGGCTTTGTGCCCAGCACTGAGCCTGACATGGGGCTCCATCTCACCCTGAAATCATGACCTGAGCCTAACTGATTGAGCCACCCAGGTGTCCCTTCATCAGGGTATATTTTTAAGACTCATTTTAGCTGTTAATGAGAGTGGACCTTGGGGTCAGGGGAGGAGGTGGAAACGGGAGCAGAAGGCAGCTCTAGTTTTAGATGTGAGATGATCCCGCTTCTTACAGGGAAACATCAGTCTTTTTTTTGAAATATCAATCTTACAGTAAATGTGGTTTTCAAAGCAGCAGAGGCCTCCTCCTTCAGACAAAATCCTGTGCGGAGTTTCAGTGGATTTGACAAGCCACGGTGAATTCCCCAGGTTGAGCAGGACCTGGATTCAGAGTCCTACTTACCAGGCTCCCACCACTTTCTAAACAGGCATGTGACCTGGGGTGGCCACACCCCACAGTCCAGCTTCTCTAAGGAACCTGCTCCTAGGCCTTCCAAAGTTATTACTGAACTCTAGATCCCAATTGCCTTGGACCAGAGCACACTCTCTGCCAAGCTGGAAGGTGCTCCCCACCCCACCCCACCCCTGCCCCTGTTGCTGTACTCTGGGTAACTAGAGACCCAGACTCTGCTTGCCATCTGGCATGGTCAGCTTGCGCCATAGGTCTCCCTCACCTGAGCCCTGTGTCTTGAGAACTTAAGGGTGAGCTGCAGCCTTCTAGAGCTATGGGACTTCTGTAAAATTAGAAATACCCCTTCCACATCCCCCCACCCCCACTCTCTGCAAAACTCTATAACCAGATAAAAAGAAACTAGAGACCTAAGTTTGGTTAATCTTGACTGTGAATCCAGGTGAAAAGGGAGCACAGTGCATACCTGACACGTTCATTTCCCTGAAAGTTGGGGCTGTCACAGAGCCCAGCATCCAGTACATACAGCCCTGCCTGGTGCTTCCGAGGGCCCTCACATGGTGTGTCCTCCAGTATCAGTGCTGGGTCCTATCACTGCCCACGGGGAGAAGCAGATGCCGAGCACACAGAGCTAAGGACTATGCCTCTTTAGCCAGTTTGCTGTCATGATCCTGTGGACAGACCTATAACTAATATGAAATACCATCGTAGTAAAAGTGTTGTGGACAGAGGGACTCTTAGAGGAAAACAGTTTAACAAGCCAGCTCCTTTTCTGCACCCCTTTAAAACTGATCATCACATCACTTAACATAACCAGGGTCACTAGGGAGTAGGTGGTGTTGCTCATGGAGGTTCCATTCTGAAATGCCACCGAGGTGGTTTGGGGAATAATTATCTTTATTACGAGTTGAATGGTGCCAGTTTATCCTGAAAAGGCAACCTGCCAGCACTTTTTAATGAGCTAATTGATCTTCCCTCTGAACTCCTTTGGATTACTATCTTGAGGCAAAGGTGGCATCCATTCAGGGGTCTGGAATTGGTTTTCATTGCCCTGACTCACAGGAGGATATAATTGAGCCATTTACATAGCTGCCTTGGGGTGGGAAGTGGGACTTAAAGCACAAATTTCTTTTTGGTCCCAGCCCTGTGGCCACTGGAAGGAGCCTATCCAGAGAAAGGAGGCAGGAGTTGGAGGCTATATTCTGACCCTCAGCCAGTGGAAGGACTTGGAACTAGTCACTTTTCTGAGCAGAACTCTCAGCTCTGAAATCCGACGGTCTAAGACCTGGGTCTGTGCCATCCAATTTGATAGTAGCTACATGTGGCTCTTTTAAGTTTGTTAGTTAAAATGAAAAAATAAGTTCCTTTGTTGCACTAGCCACATTTCAAGGGCTCAGAAGTCAGATGTGGCTAGTGACTGTCAATGGGCAGCACAGATACAGGAGACTTCCATCCTTGTAGAAAGTTGTACAGGACAGCACTGGTCTGGGACATTGTGTCATTCCAGGGCCTGTAGAAAGAAGGTGATCTTTGGTTCTTCCCAAGGATCTGCCTCCATTTCTGGCAGCTCCAATGCTTGTTACTCTTTATCGGGTTCTGACCTTTTCTATACCTGGAGATTCTTTCCTATTTGATCAGGAGTTGAGGCTGCCAGCTACCCTGTTGTGTGTTTGGAAGCCCTCAGGTGGGATTCCATGTGCAGGACTTCTCTTCTAAGTGTGTTCCAGGGTCTGTCCCACAAGGAGGGATGGCATAATGGGGTGGGGGAGGTGGCTTTGGAATTCCAGCCCTGGTGCCCTAACCTTCTCCCAGTCTGACTGTGGACAGGTTACAGTACCTCTCTGAGTCTTTATAAAGACAGCTTGCCAGACATTGAAATTAATAAATTGGTGTAATGCACTTAGCAGAATCTGGCATGTAGATACAGAGTAAGCACTAGGTAGCGTCCCTGCTTGACAGCCCTCAGTTTATTTCTAGGGACAATACCCACCACCTCCCCTGACAGTGCAGTCTCTTCAGAGAAGGGTCATTTTTCCTCTGCTGCATTCCACACTCTTGAAGACTTCAGAAAGTCAGAAATTCGATGTGTCAGGTTTTTGGTGGCCCTAGAAGCAGGGGCAGAGTTTGAGAAGGAGGCCAGAACAGAGGCAGGGAAGAGACTCTAGAGAGTGGGCAGCAGGAGAGGAGGGGCAAAGGCTCCACCCACGTAAGCACTGGGAGGACAAGGATTAGGGCTGTGTTTCTGGTGTTTCAAACAGAAATGGAGAATAGGTACTCAGTTAATAGTCCTCGACCTGAAGAATGGCTTAGTTGCTGCTTGTTCAGTTGTTTTGAGCATCTAAGGCAGATCAGCCTTCCATGCATCATCTGCATATAAGCTTTATTGTTTCAAGCATCCCTGGGGCCAGCCTTGCCTTCCCCCTTGCACATCTAATCTCCTGGGACGTGGGCTTTGCACAGATGGTTCCCTGTGCCTGGACACTCTTCCTCCAGGGAACTCTTACTTATCCCTCCAGATCAGCTCTGTGGGACCATCCCTACCTCCTCAGAGCTCTTCCTCGGTGCTGGGTGCCCACATACCCTAATGGTTACAGCAGTACAGTGATTGGATCAGGAGATTGTGGCTTACTCATCTTCGTGTTCCCTTCCCCCTCCAGTCTCACAAGTGCTAGTCACAGAGTAGGTTCCTACAAATGTTTGCTGAAAATGGCAGGCTTCCTTATCACATAAGGCAGCCCAGCAGAAATCATCTTTGCTCCATTCTCCAGTTTGTGTACCCATTTTTGCTGCTTCCCTGCACTTGATATATGGGGGTTAAGATGGATTGTAACAGCAAGCCTGGGCTTCAGGGTCAGCCATCTCTTTGCTGGATCAGTAAGATTATACTCTGATTCCTAACCAACTGACTTCTGGGTCCTTTGAGATGCTGTTGGAAGCACCAGGCCGCAGGAGCATTCTGCTGTGGTGGACACAGCTACGTGATCCTGTTGAGCACTTGAAACAATGGCTGGTGCAACTGATGGGCTAAAGCTTAAATTTCATTTCATTTTAATTAAAGTTAAGTAGCCATCTTCTCACTGCAAGTCATAATGAAAGCCCTGTAGGCAGTCCCCAGGTGCTTCTGGAAACTCTTCTACTCAGCTTATATCTTCAAGGTATTTTCCTAGAAGAGGCAGTACATAGGGCCAATGGGGCAGGATTCTTGAGCTTGGTGCCCACTCCACATTCCACTGTCTAGGTGACAGCAGGCTAGACACAAGTTTCTGGAAGTTGGAGATGAGGTTGAACAGATAAAGATGAGACCACATGGAAAGTATTATCCTGGTTCTACAGAGGCCTAATGTGAGAAAGCAGAGCCTTGAAATCAAGGAAGACTTTTTTTTTTAAGAAGAGGTAGCATTTGGGTAGTGTTTTGAAGGATGTGTCTGGAACCAGCAGAATGGGAGATGTAGGAAAAAATGTTCTGGGTAGACAGGCTCAGGGATGCCTGAGAAGGGGTTTTATTTCATGAGCACCAGAGGATTTAAGGGGGGCAGAGGGACACTGACCTCCTAAATCACTGTGTTTGAAAGGTCACTCTACCACAGGACAGAGAGGCAGAGGAAAGGCCTGAGTCAGCAAGCCCAGGTGGAAGACAGTTGTCATAGCCCTATGCTTGCTCCAGGCACTGTTCACACTGTTTTACACTTTGTTTTGTTTAACCCCTAAAGCAAAACCTCATGGTTTATCACCATATAAACAAGAATCCCACCACCCAGAGAGGTCAAGTGATTCATGTGACCACAGTTAGAGTAGGGTGGAGTACAAACCAGGCAGGGGCGCTGAGAATCCACCCTCCTTGGACTCTTGGCTGTGCCACCTCTCACAGGCAAGACACCCTAGGAGAGGAGGTTCCAGAAATATTTGGGACTCTTGTCTGATTCAGGGTGTGGGGAAGATGGGAGATGAAAGTGGGGTAGGTTAACTTGGTAAAAGGTGACTGCAAGAGCCTAGAAGAAAACCGCAGATGAAGCAGGGTTTTGATGTTAGAAGGTCATCCCCACTGCTGATACTTAAGGGAACTCCAAACTCTGGACTCGAGAGTTGGAGCAAGACCATGCCGAATTGACATCACCCAGGGCATCGAGAAGCAGAGCTGAGCCCTGGTGCTGACTTCCTCAAAGGAGGAAGGGACGGGATGAGAAAGAGGAGAGGTGGTGGGAATCCCTTTCCTCTGGCTGTCTTTATAGTAATTGTACCCCATGATCAGTCCTCAATTGTATAATGAGACCTCTCAATTAAAAGTTTTAAGAATAAGCTAGATGTTGTCTGGGGCTTTTGTCACATTTGCCTGGGGTTGGGGGTAGCTGGATGAGAATTTGTGCAGAACGAGCAGTAATGGTACCTGCCTTTGGTGTGTCCCACAGGTGGGCAGTCGCCGGGTGATCCAGTACGGCGCAGCCCTCATGCTGGCGCTGGGCATGATTGGGAAGTTCAGCGCCCTCTTCGCCTCCCTCCCGGATCCGGTGCTTGGCGCCCTCTTCTGTACTCTCTTTGGTAAAATCCCATTTCCTTGATAGCCTGACCTCTCTCCTCCTCTTCACTTTTGCTAACAAATACCTTCAGTAAGATGGAAGGTGATCATAAATATAAAGGGGATACACCTTCAGAACATAAAAACCCACATCCATCCCTGGGTTGAATTTATGTTAAAAGTAGGACCAAATGTAGGAAACTTGTGCTAGGAAAAATAAGATGACCTTAATCTTTAATTGGTATACCTAACTGATTTAACTTGAATATCTTCTTCCCTGAATGGCCATTTAAAATTGATCATTTTTACCTGGGACTTGTCATGATCTTTGTGCCATCCGTGGTGATCAGGGCCCAGATCTTTGGGTGGGTTTCCCAGCTTAACCAAAATGTTTGTGCATAGGTTTTAAGGGGCAGCTGATGTCCTTAGTTGTCTGCTTGGTCTAAAGAAAGTGCAATGTGATGTTTGTGTTCTTCTGTAAGCCCATATGATGCTTAGGCTAAGTAAGAGTCATTTGGATCAGAGAGCCAGGTGGTCACATTCTGACCCCATCCTGTCACTGTTCTGTCTCCCACCTTGCTTCTGGTAAGACAGAGAAGGGACAATGTGGGGAGTCTGTGTGTCTCCTGTATCCATCCATACAGAATAGTGAGCTCAGTGCAACTTGACGTCTGATGTTTCTCTCCAGGAATGATTACAGCTGTTGGACTCTCCAACCTGCAGTTCATCGACTTAAATTCTTCCCGGAATCTCTTTGTGCTTGGATTTTCAATCTTCTTTGGGCTCGTCCTTCCAAGTTACCTCAGACAGAACCCACTAGTCACAGGTAAGGAAAACTGGCCATGAATCTTGGTAATAGTTGGAACCACAGCCACAAGTTTGCAAATAGCCCATCCCCAATTTAGAGAGGATTTTGCAACTTCAGGAGTTGTCTCTCTGAACAGCTGTCTACGTATTCGAGACTCACTCTGCGCCACTTATCTGGAAATCCCTTGAGCATCCAGCATGAGCTGGTCTGTGCACATGACATATGCACATTAAGGTCTCTTTATTTCCTGGGACCCTGTCTTTTGAGAGGATACCAGTGTATAAGACCTTTTGATTCCTCAGACTAATGCTTTATGAAAATGTATAGTTTAAGACTCAGCTTCATAGATTTTCAAATACATGTCTTTCTACTGGGATTACAACTACTTTGAATTCAAGATTAACCTTTTTAACACCTTATTATTTTAATAACCTGATGTCATGAAGAATGAACAAAAGGGAACCTTTTTTTTTTTTGTGGGGAGGGCAGAGGAAGAGAAAGAATCTTAAGCAGACTCCATGCCCAGTGTGGGTCTTGCTCTCACAACCGTGAGATCGTGACCTAGGCAGAAATCGAGCTGGATGCTCAACCAGCTGGGACATCAGGTGCCCCCAAGGAGGAACCGTCTTAAGAAATAGCGATTGCTGTTGACATTTTATGCAGAATTGGGGACCATTTGATTTTTTTTTTTGAGGTAAAATTTATATAATGTGAAATTATTTTAAAATGAATGGTTCAGTGCCATCTTAGTACATTTACAGTGTCTTGTAACCACCACCTGTATTTAGTTTCCAAAACTATCTCCTCACCCCAAAGTAGAATTCCACACCCATTAAGTGGTTAATCCTATTATCTCCCTTCACCCAGCCTCTGGCAACTACCAATTTACTTTCTGTTTCTGTGGATTTACCTATTCTGGATATTTCACAGAAATTAAATCATACAATATGTGATCTCTGGCTTCTTTCACTTAGCATAATATTTTTGAGATTTATATAAGAATATTTTCATTCCTTTTTATGGCTAATAATATTCCATTGTATGTATATACTGTAATCTGCTTATCCATTTGTCCGGTAATGGACATTTCCTACCCTTTGACAGTTGTGAGCAGGGCTGCTATGAGCATTGTTGTACAAGTACAATCAGTCCTCATTCATGGTAGCTGTGTCCTGGAAAGTCACCGTGAGCATGGAATTAGCAAATCCTGACCCATCCCTTCTAGGGGGACCATAGCCAAGAGCGGTGTATATATGATTCATCTAACACATGTATTTTTCTTCCTGAGGCACAGCACAGTCTTCCTGCACTTAGGAACAGTAGACAGCACTTCAATACAGCACTTGGAGGCCATTTTAAACAATGAAATCACCAACCAAAAACACAGAATTGGGGAAAAAAGTGGTGTTAGCTGTAAGCACACTGGAGATGAGCTATGAGAGCCGAGACAAGAAGGCAGAGTGTTATCTTGTTTGACCTCTGCTGGGAACATACATGTTAGGTGGACCCAAAGTTTGTGCTGCTCTGTGAATGACCATGAAAGCCAGGAGTATTCATTTTGGGTTTACAGATAAATTTTAGGGTGTAGGTAAATTCACAAATACAGAAGCTGTCTGCCATAATGAGGATCGGCTATATTTGTATCTCTGTGCTCAGTTCTCTTGGCTATATACCGAGGAGTAGAATTGCTGGACGGTAGGGTAATTCTAGGTTTTAACTTTTTGAGGAACTGCCAAACTGATTCCCACCAGCTAAGCTCAGGGGTTTCTCTTTCTCTACATTCTTACCAACACTTGTTATTTTCTGTTAAGGATCATGTATTTTAAAGATTTTATTTATTTTATTTTAGAGTGAGCAAGCATGTGTGCACACATGTGTGGGAGGGGGGCAGAGAGAGAGAGAGACCGAGACAGAGGCCAACTCCCCGCTGAGCCCAGAGTCCAACACAGGGCTTGATCTCACGATGCTGAGATCATGACCTGAGCTGCAACCAAGAGTTAGATACTCAACCGACTAAGCCACCCAGGCGCTCCTAAGGGTCATATATTTTAAATACAGAAAGTGTGAGAGCTTCTAATAACAGAGATTCTTGCTGCTTTTTTACGTTTTACTGTATCCCATTCATGTGAGTTCATTTATATGCATCCAATTGCTCCTGATTAAAAGCAGCTAAGCACAAATCAGTGACCCAGGATTCTGAAACCCTTTATGTGTTTGTAAATACCACCAATATTTTCATTGTATTCTTACTTTGTAATATTTTCAGCCTTACAACAGCCATCTTTTTATTAATTTTTTTCCTTAATATGTAAACCATGCTCCAGTGGCTTCTTAGTTCATTCTAGGGTGAGCTTCACTATTAGGTTTATCTTCTATGGACCATTGTTGGGAAGTTTTCTTTTAGGGATAACCTCTTGATTATTGTTCAAATTATTTATAGTGGCTTAAAATGTTACTGGCAAAAGTGTATCTACTCAGGTACAATAGAAATTTATACTTTCGTCTATAAATTTCACATTAACTGGTAATTGGTGCCCACCCCAGTGCTCCTTCCTAGCCATCCTGGCTGTGGCAGTGACCCTATGGCTGTGTTCTCTTTCTAGGGATAACAGGAATTGATCAGGTGTTGAATGTTCTTCTCACAACTGCTATGTTTGTAGGAGGCTGTGTGGCTTTTATTTTGGATAACACCATCCCAGGTATGTGGTATATATGAAACATGCTTGTTCCGTATGTGAATTATTTGTTTTACCAAATAAATGAGGAAGCAGGCAGAGAGAACACGTTCAAAGCCATCGCTGGTTAAAGTGGTCTTTTCTGAAGTGGTTAAGATGACACTCCCAGCCTCCTTTTATGAATCAGCTTCTTGCTGATAAACCTAGTGGGGATTTTTTTCTCCCCACTGAGTTAGGAGAAAGCAGGTAAGGCCCTTGCCCATGGTCAGGTGCCTTGGGCACACTTCAGGCTGCCGCCACCTGCAGAGCTATGCTTAGTACCTGCAGTAGCTCTCATCAGCTCATTCAGACACTCCTCCCAGCTGGCTGCTCACAGCCTCTAGGATTTCTCCTCCTTCCTGAGGCAGGCCCCTCTACCAACTAAAAGCAAAAGAGAGTGAGTATGGTGGGTACAGGCTGTTGACAGGATCAGTGACTGAGGGATTGATGGAAGCAGGGGTTTCCCATTGCCCGTAACCCCTTCTCCTCAGCTGGGTGCACTGTATGCTAAGTGCTAGGTGATGGGTGAGGCTGTGATGTGGGCCCTGCCTCACAGCCTTCCCAGCTTCCCAGAGTAGCCTGCCAGTACTATTGGAAAGTGCTGCCACAGACACACTGGAAGATTCACCTCCTGTCAAGGAAGGATGATGCTTGTTTTGAGCTTGAAGGTTTTGTTAAGATTTTTTAACCCTTAAAGGCAGCACACCTCCAAAAAGCCTCAATCAAGAGGTTGCTGGGAAATCCAGGGATGAACACATCAGGCAGAAGGAATCACATGCATGAATATGTGGAAGGTGTTAGATTTGTGGACGTCAATAACTAACACACACTTTTAGAACTAATGGAGAGAGAGGCACAGGAGCCAGATATATGGAAATGAAAGTTAACTTTGTTACAAAAACACTGAGGGAAGGGCATGGTTTAGATGTAAGAAAATAATGACGTTCCTTATACTATACCATGGACTTGAACTCGTTGTCTAGGTTTGGGCAGAGAAGTATGTTTTCCAGTATCACATGTAGCCAAGGGCAGGTGCCAGTGTGCCTCTCTTCACTGGGAAAATTGAGGAAAAAATAATTCAGGGCTCTGATCTTTCTCCCTGACTGCTGTATCAGGGTACAGAGAGGTCTAGAGTGTTAATACCAACGGAAGTTCTTCCTCACAAAAGGAGCATGAGGTGGGGAATACGTAGCAAGTGGCACCCCCTTCCATTCCCCTCTCCACACAGATGGAGCAGAGCAGGGCAAAACTTGGTGTGCCTGGATGGGGGATGGTTTGCCCTGACCAATTGTTGAAGGCATTACATATGGTATAATAAAGACTGAATCCCATTTTGCAGAGATCACACTTGCAATTTAGAAGTTTTTTTTTTTTTTGTTTTTTTGAGAACGGATTTGGAGAAGGAGATGGTGAGATGGAAGAGCAGGCAGCCAGTTAGGGGACTGTTATGATGACCCCAGAAAGCAAGTCACATGGCATGGGCCAGACCTCAACAGTGATGATTGAGAATATAGGTCACATGGAAGGACAGGAAGGAGGCAGAGCCATCTGATCGCCTGAACGGGGAGCACAGGGAATGAGGATGGATTAGCCATTCTTAGATTGCTGGCTCAGGCACCTGGATGGCTGAGTGCCATCAGCTCCTCCTCACAGGCTCCTGCTGTCATCCTGGCAGGTTCCATATACAGGACAGCACGTTGGCCATCTGAACTCTTGGTGGAACTGTCACACTAAACATTCCATTATATTGTTTTGTGCGTGTGTATATTAGGTACTCCAGAGGAAAGAGGAATCAGGAAATGGAAGAAGGGCGTGGGCAAAGGAAGCAAGTCGCTCGATGGCATGGAATCCTACGATTTGCCATTTGGCATGAACATTATTAAAAAATACAGATGCTTCAGCTATTTACCCATCAGCCCAACCTTTGTGGGCTACACGTGGAAAGGCCTCGGGAAGAGTGCCACCAGCCGGAGTTCAGATGAGGACTCACAGGCCACGGTATAGCTGTAGCTCACCCTGTGGCCCGGCCGCAGTGAGGCATGAATCTGTAGTTCCTTCCTGAATAACAAGCAGTAACATATATGTTTGTATATCTGCATTTACATTCTGCACCCAGAGCTAAGACGATTACAAATAGCTTTTTTGTTGTGGGTGGTGATTGTGTCTAATATCGTGTCTCACCTGTCTCCTTATTTAAGCCCTACCCTTTGCCCTTGAGAGTGTTCATTGAACTTGAAGTTCCTATCCTCATATGGGAGTGGGTGTTTGAAATCCACAGCAGTTCCTTGGTTTGGGTCTCCTTCCACCACCGTGGGCTAGCTTTCCCACAAGCTGCCTCGGTGGCCCAGGGGCTTTCTATCCTAGAAGCCCCTGGACCTGCCTCTGTTTTATTTGACCTCAGCCTACAACCTGCAGAGACCTCCCTCTAGTCCAGGGGCACCACTATTCTCACACTGTCACAGCTGACTGGTCAAATGTGATTCTGTGTTTCCTGATACTCCTGAGGAAGGAAGCTCTTGACCTGGTTGAAAACAGTGAAATGGTTACCCCATGCCCATGTCTGCGTGGGTGAGGTTTGTACAGGTATTCTTAGAATTGAAATATGTTGTTTGAGGGATTGGAGGGGAAGGAACTTACCTTAAAGTCCTATCTGATTCTCAACTGCTCTTTCTTGGTACCACCCTTGCCCACACTGGGCCAGCACATTTCATACTGGCTTCTTTTTCACTATAATTGAGACACTCTGACATTCATCACTCTGGGCTGGTGTGATGGGTATAGAGTGCCACACAGGGCACTAAGCAGATGTTTATGGGAGTCTTGACTCTGCTGTCATGTGGATGTCAGTTACTGTTGCGCGTGTCTATAAATTACAAGATTTTATTCCTATTTAATGTTATTGACTATAGCAGATTTTTGAAATCAGTGTTTTTCCATGTGACCCTCTTACCTTGCATCCCTGTTACTTATCTCCCACCCCTCACCTCCCATTAAGAAAAGAACCAGCATTTATAAAGCTGTGGACACCATCAGGGAAGCTTGTCGTCATGGCTTTTGAAGGCCAGTAATCATTATTGTGGTTGTGTTTTGTATTGCTTGATACCATGAAAATGTAAATACTGTAATGCCTAATCTATTTATCAAAACTGACTACTGGACCAGAGCCCAGAAACCATGGGTTAAGTTATACGTGAATTTGTTTTGTGAAGAAGGGAAGCTGGGGGCAGATAATCAACAGAGCAACCATATTGAGTGGTCAGACATCTTGGTAAATTCATCACTGCAGTTGTGAGTTTTTTGAACTTAAGACTTAAGGAGACTTTGTGTGGGTTGCCACATTGTGTGTCCACTGGATCTTGATTTTGCAAAGGGGAGGATTTAGACCCCCTGGCCAAATGCACCTTTATTGTTTAAGTCCTTGCGAGGTGGTGAGAAAAGCAGTTGGCAGGGCCTCTTCTGTTGAGTTCTCGTTAATAACACTAAATCCTTTCTGAAAAAATGACTTCTGTGGAATTTGGTTTGAAATTTTTTAGCCAAAGGAAAACCCTCAAGCATGAAATAGCAACCCAGCCACGTGAGGTGGTGCTTCTTAGGTGGTTTGTTGACCTGGTTGACCCTTGTACGGCCTCGGGTATTCCTATCTCAGACAGCAGGGCATGGTTCTCAGCAGCCTTGTGTCCACTGGGTGCGTTTTCTTGCCCCCATAGCTGGCTCCACTCCACCGCGTTGGGATATCCTTGGCAGCATTACTGTGTCACTACAGCCTCCCTGTGACTCCTGGGAGTTTTGGGGCTTCGCAGCAGATTCTGGCAGGAACGGTTCAGAGCTACTGCATTGTTTTGGCCAAGATCTAGTTGAAGATTAAGTAAAAAAAAGTATATTCTAAATTACATTTAATTCTGTATGTTGTTTTTAAAAATTTATCTGATGCATAATTAACTTTAGAAGCACACTGGTTAACGACTCTTATCCCTTTAACTTGGTAAGCACTTGATGCCTAAGGCCATCCTGCACCGACCTGCTCTCAGTTTCCATTTGCATTTTTGCTCAGCGTCTTTAATTTTTCTGCTCTGAAAAATGGGGAAGACTGTTAAACATGCCAGAGATTCTAGCTCTCTAGAGGAGCAGAAGGACCAAATATCCAAATAAAAGCATCTGAACCATTGGATAATCTTAACTGTCAGCTGAACGTGACCGGGCATCTTCCCTCCCAGTGAGTGACACTCAGGATATGTGCTTCAAACATCCCTGCTTGGGCTGGGTTGTATTGGGAGATTCCAAATCTGCTGGTCTGGGGACTGTAAGCTTTTAAATGTGGAGGGAAGCCCAATACCCCCATCTTCTGTTAGAAATGAGGGGTTTGTCCTTCTTGTTCCACTGGGGCCAACTTTAGATCCCCTAAGGTTGGGTAGGGGAAGGGGACAGGAAGTGGGGAAGAACGAGGGCAGCTCGACTAGAGGTCTCAATGAGTCTGATACTTTCTGTACAGTGTGAAACCTTAAGTGTTTGGAGTCTCTATGATTTAGACAGTGGTCCTCCTGCTGGCAAATATGTTACAGAATGAGTCTGTAACGAAGAGAAAAATGTATTCATCTGCTCCTTAGGCTTAAGCACAAACCTGAAAAGGAGGTTTCGGGGAATGCAGTGGCGGTGCATAGTCCGTGCCTGTGCACTTCCCACTTATGTTGTTGGCCTGCATTGCTGGGGCTGCATACCCACCATGCTTTGGCCAAAAGAATGTTTTAAAGTGTTTTGGATATAACGTCCTAGGGCGGAGCATTCAGACTCCAATTTCCATAGTGAGCATCTTTACATTTACCTTGGCAATCTTGATGTGAGAAGTACCAGGTATTTATACGGACAGTAAATGCTGTCTTATCATGGTGGGTGGCAAGGGAGATCCCACCACTGGTTTGAATAAAATATCTAACATGATTGACATAATAATGGGAAATGGCTCCAGTCTTTGTCACATTAGGGAATTAAACTTAGATTCATTCATACCAACCCTTTAAGAGGATTTCAGATGTTAACTTTTAAGTTTCTGGTGATTGGTGAAGGCAAGAGAAGTGGCTTAACCAGGCCAGCTAGAATGAAGCGTCACAAGTCCTGATGGTTTCCCATTTTCATGGTAACAAATTCACACACAGGATTTGCTTTATACTGTAGAATACTGACTTTCATGATGACGACTTGGTTTATGCATGAATATTGCAGTATTTCCATATAGTAAAATAACATTTCTACCCAGGATAATAGTCACAGTTTTCCAGGGAGGGAATGATACAATTTTCATGACAATGTCATGTGATAATAGAATTTCTCCATTGATGAATCTCTAGTACGTGTGTATACTTTATTTACCCATGCGTCTATTTTATCACCATGATAAAGTTGGTATTTCTTTAGTTCACGGCCCTGCTGAAATACTGGTACTGGCAACTTAGACTTGAAGTTGGTAACTATAATCTTCCAATACCGATGCCACAAGAGTGGCCAGGCCAGGTAGAAGGTGAATAATAGGGAGCTGTGGCAGATGTCTCCTTCTGGAACATGTCTGACAGTGAGCAGCAGTGTCTGCGTAGGCGCCGCGCTCGGGCTGGACCCCGAAGCTACAGCCCCCAGGCACCCTGGCCAGCTGTGGCTGTGCTCTCACTGCCCAAGGGCCTGAGACTTCACTTGGCAGGGCCCACCTCTCAGGGGAGCCGCCCTTTGCCTCTGAGGAGCGCCTGGGGTTTTCACATGCTGTGCGTGTGGTGCTCTGTCCCCTGATGATTCAGACACCCGCCACTTCATCTGCAGTCACATCCTGAGTAGCGCAAGAAGACTGCCCATTGTTGCCGGCATTTGGCCTCAACCAGTGGACATGGAGAGAGAGCATGTTAGCGCTGGGCACCCCTCATTCAGCAGCCTCATACACATTCCTGTCCTTTTAGGTTGTCCTTGACTGTGCCTCGTCATCACTCCACAGAAGTCACATCCAGCATCCTTAGACTTGCTGTGTCTGTTTCCTGGCACTTAGAGCACCCTCACCAGTGTTGCTGTCTCACTGACCCCTCAATCTAATCCCCTTTTCTGTTCGTTTGTAACAACCTTTGTGGGACACATTAATAAATTTGACTGTTCTCAAAGCAGTGGGGATGCCTATATTTTCCTTGAGTTTTTGTGACTGACTTTGGCTATATATACCTTAATGGGATTTTTTGTTTTTTATTTTTATTTTGCATACTGAGGGTATTTGGGGGTGGGGTTGTTTTTTGAGATGTGTAATTCTTTTATGGAGTTTTTAAAAAGAATTTTCATATTGTTTTTCTAACATGGCTTCATTAAACGTTTAAGTATTTTAAAAATATGTAATATTTGGACCAGATGTTGTGAATAATAGTAGAGATAAAGCTATTTTATTCTGTATTTTTAAAACCGTTCCGTACAAATAAAAGCTCTCCTGGACCCAGTTCTCCGTTCGTGTGCCTCATCTTTTCCCTGGTCTTTAAAAAACTTGTCGTTAATTAAAAGTCATCACCTAGGGGAGGGAAATCAACAAATTAAAAAACTCAATCCAGCAAGCCTCAGATGTTACCATTGTCAGGGTCCTGGAAGACTTGAAAGCAGGAACCAGAGTGTCGTCTGTTCCCATGACCAGAGAACCACAGCAGGCTCATTGGGGATTTCCTGAGTGAGCCTTCCATTACAGGATGCGACCTGCCAGACTGTGGCTGAAATTGTGAAGCTCTTGTTAAGTCGGCGACATCTGGAGGCTGGTCAGAGAAGCTGTCTGTCCCCACGGTGCAATCAGAGGCTCCCAGAGTATTCAGCCTGAGTATTGATGCTGGGGCAAGAAATGCTGGGTCGTGGGTGCCATAAAGGCCTGGAACTGAGCTTGAGAGCAGCTGGTGACAGCTCATTCCATCAGGCCTGGTGGTGGGGTGTGAAGATGGGCACAGAGGTAATCGATGTATTTCTTAATTCGGAGCAACTTTGGAGTTCCCCCATTCCCATCTCCATCCCTGGTTCATTTCTGGCAGTTTGGACCACGAGTGGTCCCCACGGCTGTCCCCATAGGGCATGTACCCTGCTGCCTCTTGTTCCCAGTATCTTGACCTGTGAGCCGCTGCTGGGCAACCAGTCACAAGGTGCAATGTTTACACTCGACATGCAGAAAACATGTACAAGGTATTAAAATAATAGAATGCCCATGTTCCCTGGACTCCTGGGTGACTCTGGTTGGGCATCTGCCTTCAGCTCAGGGCGTGATCCTGGGATCTCATGATCGAGTCCCACATCGGGCTCCCTGCATGGACCCTGCTTCTCTCTGCCTATGTCTCTGCTTCTCTGTGTCTCTCATGAATAAATAAATCTTAAAAAAAAAATGCCCATATTCCCATCCCCACCCCTGTACCCCATCCGCTAAGAGAGAGAACCACTGGTTGGATTTGGGGTTGATCCTTTCCTTCACAATCTTGCCATGTATATGCCTTCCTAAACAATTTACTATTTAGTCTGTTTTGCATGTTTTTTTAACATTATGTAAAAAAATTTGCTATATGTTACCGCATTTCATTCACTGTTGTGAAATTCTTTCATGTTGGTATGTGTCTATAATGGAGTTCATCTCTTCACTCCTGGGTAGTAAAATTGAGGATTAGCAAAGAAAAGATCATTCTGAAAGCTTCTGGAGACCATGAAACCTAGAGAGCCAGGATCAATGGATGTCATGTATTCCAGCAGCAACCCTGTGTGTGGAGTTAACATTTTTAAGGACTGAAGGAAAAGAACTTTGCACTTAGAATTTCAGATCTTGCCACCCAGATGACCCCATTTAAATACTTTAGATGAAGTACTTGAGTATGAGGAGAAAACCCAGAAGGTGCTGTAGGAGATGATAGGGGCAAGGTGAGCAGTAAATACCTTCACAAGCACTCCAGGATATTTCTGAAAACTTATTCTAGAAATCAAAACAAGCCTCAAAAAAAATTTCCAAGAATCGGTATAATGCAGAGCATAGTTCCCTAACTGTGCATTTAAGTTGGAAGGTAATAAAAAGTTGTTTACAAGTCTGCATATTTGGATGTCTAAAATACTGCTAAATAACTCCGTGGTTAAGGAAGAAACCAATAGCAGAAATATTCTTTAATGAAGTGTATTGTGTGTCCTCTGGTGGTTCTGTACACGCCTCCTTCCAGAATTCTGATTTTATGTCCACTCTGCATCTCTAGTTTCACTCATGCTGTCTTTTTCTATTTCCTCTTAAGTTCTGGGAGAAGTTCCTGAGGAACGATCTAGATAACTGGGTTTTCTAGAACACTCAACCTCTTGCTCATGTCTTCTAGTGCAATTTTTAACAGACTATTTTGGGTCGTTGTCGAACATACACAAAAGTAGATAATAGCATAACCACTCTCCACATGCCTACCACCCAGCTTAACAGATACCGATTCCTGGCCAGTCTTGTTTCGTCTACACCCCCTCCACTTACGTCCTCCACTGTTATGATCAAATCCCAGACATCTCACTTCATCTATAAATATTTCAGCAGTTACCACTAAAAGGTTTTTTAAAAAGCTATTATGTCTTTAAAAGATTAACAGTAATTAATATCAAATATTAAGTGATCAAGTTTGCAATTGTCTCATGTGTTTGAATTGTTGATACTTGGTCATTGGTATTGGTTGAAAAATCTCTCTCTCTGTTGCAGTTTATTTGTTGAACAATTTATTTGTCCTGCAATTTCCTACGGAAGTACTGAGTGCAGCCTCTCAAACATGTTCTTTTGCCTAAGTCCGGGTTCAGGGAGCACTAAGTGTTCCTTCTATGAGGCAGCACATAGTCTCTCTTTTACAGTCATTGGTACTCAGTTCCCAGATACAGTGGTTTACTGGGGAAATTGCATTTTTTTATTTGGCTCTGTAGTTGCATTTCAAATTAAAACACTTCCATGATGAGATATTTTCATGGGTGCAATTAACTCTCAGGTCCCACTGAAAATATCTTAGGGACTTTGCTTAAAAGTTTTCTCTCACTTCATACATTTCGTTGGGAAGTGTTTGTTCCAGTGGCCTTGAATATACCTTTCTTTGGGTCTACTGAATCTTTTCATGTTATCTGGTGTGGTTTTTTTTTTAATTTTCTCTGCTTATGCTAAAAAAAGGAGGTCTGTGTTTGTTCAACAATAGGATTTTTTTTTTTAACAATAGGATTTATGGTGGATGTGGTTGATTACTTTTCCCCCAAAGCTTGTGAGTTGAAATTAAAATCCTTTAGACCTTTTGAGTTGGCCTCTCCTTGGACTTGATGTTGGTTCCATCTGCATCCATTTACCAGACTCTTGTTTATTCAGCAATAACTCATCATAGGTTTCTTCTAACATTTTGATTTCATTACAAATATCCTCATATTTATGTGAACGTGTGGAATGGAAAGTAATGATCTTAAGATCTTTTATTATCTTTGGGAAGTGGGTTTATAGGTTACATTTATTCTGTTTTTTTTTCTGCCTTAATTTTGTGTGTTTTAAACTATTTTAAATACAAATGACTCAAATCTTTTTTTCAAAGGAGATAAAAATTGTATTATAAAAACTTAGTAACATCACAGTTTAAGAAATAGGAAAGTCCCTGTACTTTTCTAATACAAATATAACATTGTCCTATATAGGAAGATTTTGCCTTATAAATGACATGGCTTGGTGGATAAAATCTTCCAGAACATTCCACCCTTAGGAGTTGGAGGATGAGTTGGTTGGGGAGGACACTGCTGGATTTGAAAACACAGGCTCCAGCTGAATGACTCTCAGATGGTGGATTTAGGCATTTGCCTCTCAGCTGTGCCCAGAGGTCTGTAGTGACCACTCCCACACCATGCCCGGTCCCCACAACACACCAAGGCAGCCCTGGTCTGAACTGGGCTGTTGTGATCTCTGAACACATGCCTAGGCAAAGGGACAAGAAAACTTCTGTTGCAGCCCCAACCTTCCAACCCACTATGGAGATGCTGAGCCTCAAATTCCCAATTTAACTCAACTATGAAGCAACTGTCCTTGGAGAATCAAAGATGTCAGAGGGCCTTTTATATATTTGTGTGTCCATACATATGTGAACACACAGTTTGTTTTGTTTTTACCTCTTGGGCAGTGAGTGATCCACTCTGGTCTCAGGAAAATTATGAGAATGAATTAGAAGTGGGAAGAATCACCCTCAGAGTGATTTAGGAATGAGCCTCTTGCACAACAGAAGGCTTTTTAAAAATAAAAATATTTCACCTGGAGTAGCAGCCTAAACCATTTTTATTGTGGTTCAGTGATCAGATAATGAGCCTTGCAGGTATACAGATCCATGTTCAGATCTCAAAAGTCCTCTTCCTACTGGAGCAGACACTGCCAAGTGTCCCCCAGAATCCATTCCCTCATTCTTCCACAGTGATGCACAAGACTACACTTCCCAACCTTGCTTGTAGCTCAGTATGACCATGTGACCAGGCTCGGGCATGTGACAGGTAAATAAGGCTGAAGGTACAATTTCTGGGTTGTGTTGTTAAAGGCTAGATGTTTACCCTCATGCTTGCCTTCCCCCACAACTCCCACTCCTCCTTGCTGGAAGGCCGAGGTAGTGGCCTACCAACATGGTCCATTCCAACAAGAACACCTGGGATGGCAAGAAAATACAAAAGAAGGAACCTGAACTCTTGATGACAGCAGCCCAAATTTTGATGTAAGAGAGAAACTCACTCATCTCAACCATTATTACTTGTGTATCTGTCATAGCAACCAAGAACTGTGCCCTATTGGAGGTCAAAAACCATTTATATATTTACATATATATTTTTTAAAGATTTTATTTACTTATAGAGACAGAGAGAGGCAGAGACACAGGCAGAGGGAGAAGCAGGCCCCATGCAGAGAGCCTGACGTGGGACTCGATCCAGGGTCTCCAGGATCACGCCCTGGGCTGCAGGCTGCGCTAAACTGCTGCGCCACCGGGGCTACCCTCAAAAACCATTTAATGTTGGATTATCACTTAATGTGTTTCCACCTAAAATTGACCAGCTATATAGTCTTGAGCGTGCTATTTAACTTATTCTCTATAAAACCGGTAATACTCATCCAGAGTATTAGGATTACTTTGATCAAAATATAAAGCTTCAACAGGCTAGGTTCTATTCCTCTTCAACTCCTCTCCATGTCTTGTAGGCACACACAGATATTTTTATAGTCACAATCATTGGAAGAATTGGCCAGGCCAGCACTGAGACTTTGGATATGTTGATCTGTAGAGCTGTGGGTCCCATCCTGAATTCCTCTGTGTTCTCTAGACTACCCAAGTCCTTAAGTGGCTCCTAATTTTCCAAGAGCCTCATAGATACCCAGACACATTCCCTGAATTTGATTACCACCCAAGATTTTGTGGAAGGTAACCTCGAGTCCCCTTAACATATGGGACTCCCATATCTACATACATAT